TTAAATTAAATTGAAGAGGTTGGGTGTATTTTGTTTAATTCAAAATCTATTTGGTTTTATTTATATTGCACTATGAGCAATTCACGAAAAATTTCAAACTTTCACTAAACTTTACTGGAAAAATAGTATAGATTAGGGTCAATGGAATGCCTTGGAAGCTTTTTTCCCGAGATTTTATGAAAATATACTCCTTAAAATATAATATTTTATTAACTTTAAAAGTAAATTACACTGTAAAAAATTCTAGATCAAATTACGGTATAAAGAAATGGAACGTTGATTACACCATCTGTAATATCTATTTTAACCGGAAAATATTATACAGTAATTTTTAAAGTTATATTCATTTAATGAGAGTAATTCAGGAATTTTACGGTAATTGTTACAGTAAAAATTGCGCTATATGATATTTTTTGTTCCGTAACATGTTCCAGGAAATCAGATTTTATGGTAAAAAGTACCGACACCCTGAGCACCGATATACTTTTTACCGTAATTAGATCCAGTATTTTTCACAGTGTTAAAGGATAAATCAGATTGATATGAAACTTTCAATAGAAGGGCATAGAGTAGAGTAGCGTTCTTTTTCTCAATACGGCTTCATGGCTGTTCAACTAACATATTTCATTTGCTTTAAAACTGTCCGGATTTATATGAACAAACAGTAGAGGAAATGGTGCACTGAATTATTAAATGGGTTTCCGGGTTTTTTGAAAATATGTCTAAACTAATTTATTATCCAAAAAGCATACTAAATGTTCCAAATTGAGAAAAAAAGCTTTTTTCTCCATTTTTCTTTCAAAAAACATGAATAATCTTGATTTTATTAAGAATTGCGATACGAAAATTGATAGAGAATTTTTTTATTTTATTTAAACGCTTTTTCCTATTCGATACTGAATTACAATTGCATTTAGTATTTAAATTAAATTCTTATCATATAGAGTTTTTTTTAATTAATTTGAAAATTTTGGAAACCAGGATATTTGTTAATATTTAAATCTAAATATGGCTTAATTGTTAAATCTAAATATTGTTGTATATCTGTTCATTTCTGCTTGTTTCTATACTTGAAATTGTTAGCTAAAATATATTATTTAAAAAAAATATCTAAATAGCATATATTAATTTATAAATTATACACACCTTGGAAGCAGAGCTTAAGTAATCATGAAACCAATTTTGCTTTAATCGAAAAATTGGGAAAACTTTATCACATATTAACTAATATAAAAATTGGATAAAAATTATGGTCGGTTAGAGTATTATGCTTCGGCATGTAGATCCTGATTTCGTTGATTGTAATTAAATTGAAATTTATAAAATTTATAAAAATATTCTTTTACTCTTAAATTATTTATTTACTCCTAATTTAAAGTACACATTTATCTTTCATTCTTGTTCAGTTTTCTCAATTGTAATTATTTTTTTTTATTTCTAATTAAAAGCGTATAAGTAAAGTGTATAAAACGTATAAAACGTACAAACGATATACCTTTATTATTCTTATCTAAATTAATATTTATATCTTATGTTATTACATTAATACACAACATGTTTATCTATGAAAAATATGCTTAATGATTAAATGTGTTTTAAACAGTATCAACTTCATTAAGTGTTTTATAATTATAAATAATGTGTTATATTTACTTGTAGTATACATTCCGTGCAAAACTTTAAACAGTCAACGTCAACGAACAAAATTGATAAAGTTTATTCGAAATCAATTTTTCATATTATTATTGAATAACATTTTTGAGAAAGCACATAGGAAATTTTCAAATTAACGAATCGAACCGAAAGATTCAGCTTAAATTCAATTCAAATAAAATCAGAATCTAAAAACAGCGAAACCAAATCTTTCTTAATTCAATAAAATGTTTTGGGATCTTTCTTTTTAATTGAGTAATTTTTTTTCTTTTAGAGAAAAATTTTCTTATCTCTAAGAAATGAAACAAATTGTTGGTCCAAAAATAAATTAACTAAACAAAACATAGGAAAGACATTTATTCATGTAATATAAGAGAAATATGAACACCAAAGAAAAGTGTTTATATTCGCAAATTTTCGTAACTTAGTAAAGTGCAGATAATAACATTTGATCTAATGATCAGATTTTCAAGTTAGAATATTTTAATATATTACACCTCACTTTTTTAAGCAACATAATTCATGGCGATATTTTGAATTGGCAACATTGGCGTACTGAAGGGGGATATATTGAATTTTCAAACAGCTTCATGAAAGTTTCTAGTAAACATTATTTACAGTGCCAGTAAATAGGAACCTTCAGTGAATTAACTGCATGATTCGAATATGTCTTATCAAAAATATTCTACAGTTAAAAAAGCATTGAAAAAAATAATTTTTCTTTCAGGGGTTGCAAAATATTTGTCTGAAAAAGTGACCAATGAACCAAAAAAGGTTCGGAAATTACACGAGAAAAATAAATCCCGGTAAAATTACCATACTGTATGGTAATAAAATTTTTGGTTAAAAAAACAACATAATTCCAATATTAAAAACTTAAATATATGGTATTTAAACTACTCATTTCGTATTTTTTCCATTTCTTTGGTAAAGGCTTCCCAGAACTACTGATTTTCAAATTTATAGCTCTTTTTGCTAGAATTTTGTTATAAATACAAAACTGAAAAGTTAATTTTATTGAATAAAAGTTTTAATGCCATGCTCCAAGATATTATTTTAAAACTACCATATTTTTCTACATTTAGCAAATTTATCACAGACTATAAAACCGTATTTTATTCTTAATTTCACAGAAATCATTACCAAAGTGCTTCATTAAAAACTACTGAGCTTTTTAGTGTTAAAATAAAGTCTGAAACATAGTAAATTTTACCATACTCAAGTAGTTTTGACCATACTTTTTTCTCAGAGTATAATCTAGAGTTAAATCTTACATTAAACTTTTTGTGTCTTAATTTCATTCACTCCTTTCTGACTCTATTTCATACATTTAATTAATGGATCCGATTTATGTTCATTATTTCCTGTCAGTGATAATAACAATAACTTGATAAATGTATAAATATCTAAATAAATTGAGCAAATATCATTTTAAAAAATGTGTTTCCGCAATATTACAAAAATGAAATGTGAAAAAAATTATTAATAACATATTTTTCTAAGACAATTCTAGAACAATGTAAAAGGAAATTAATTAAATCATTTCTGCTTGGATTAATTATTATTTTTTGTGTTAAAAAATGTACGCTATGTCTGGTACACTGAAATCTTATAACCCAAGAGTTTTTTTTTATTAATTATAAATAACCGCAATAAATATTTTTAAGTGGGGAAAAGTTAGGTTTTTATTTCAATAATAATTGGGATTTTTGTGTTTTCCTCATATTGAAGTTCCAGTGATGCGGAAACATTGAAGTGTTTTACTCTTAGCTATTTTTTTACATATATCCCAATGCTAAAACACCATATCTCAAAATCTAATGAAGATAATTCTCAGAAATTCGGAACATATATATTATTTTGTTACTTTCTTTTAATTTGTTCTGAGAAGTGTTAGGAAAGATTTTTTTCCAGATTTTATTTTATATTCTTAAACAAGTTATAAGAAAAGGGAAATTTCAAATATTAATATTTTTAAATATGTAAACGAAAACAATAACTGGAGAACAGTGATGGGCATCATTCACGAAAATTTTATTCATGACTAAATTTATTCAGAATAAATTTATTCTGAATGATTATTCATATGAAAATTTAGTCATTATTCATCATTCATTATGCAAATGTATAAAAATTTTTGAATAATGATTGATGAATAAACTCATTAGTCATGACTAATTTTTCTGAGTAAAATTTTAATAACCAGCAAAAATTGCAATCGATATGTCTTTGTCTATAAGGAGATGCAAAACATCGTTTGCTCTTAAACGTCTTATTTTAGGAATTAAACTATAAATCTAAGACAAGTATGATTACTTATTTTTATGTTATTTTAACTTACTCCAGCGTAACATGCTTAGTTGTGCTAAAAAGTAGGTTTATAACAGTTTAGTTACTTAAGTTCATTTTGAAATTTTGTTCTAAAATCTATAATACGCTATTTTTTATAGTTTTTGAAGGCAAACGATAATATTATTTTAAGTTTTTAAATCAAATTTTAATTAAAAAAATTAAACCCTTTTTTGCCATGTAACCATTTCTCAAAAGTATGCATTATGTTAGACAAAAGTAAATTTTCTTAAACATTACATAAATATACATGAAAAGGATTAACGTTTTATTTGTAGTTGTCATAATCGTAGTCAATTAGAGTATTCCGTGCCCATTTTTGTTGACCAGTGAAATTATTCAGTTATTCTTGACTAATGAATAAAGGATACTGAATAACGAATAATGAATGATTTATTCCTTATTCAAAATATTTCTGACTAATGAATAAATCTTTATTCATCATTCATTATTCAGATTTTGAATAATTATTCATCATTCTTTATTCATTATTCTGAATGACAAATGACCATTTCTGCTGGAGAAGGAGATTTAGCTTTGAACTGTACAAGATTTATAAACAACCTGATATTATTAAATAAATAAAAATAAATAGAATGGATTGGATCGCCCACGTTATTCGAATGAGTGACGACAACGCAATAAAAAAGATACTGCTTTTTAGACCCACTGGAAAAAGAAAGCGGGGAAGCCCGCGGTTGAGATGGGCTGACTCCGTGGAGTCTGATTTTCTCGCAATTAATGAAAAAAATTGGAGATCAAAGATAAATCGGAAGTTGTCGTGGAGAAATCTTCAGAGGAAGACATTGGCTCACATTAGGCTGTCTGGCCAACCATGATGATGATGATGAATATTTTTATAGAACTATTAAAATACTAACAGAAAATAATGAAAAAAATCAAAATATCTGAAATAAAATTATTCTTCACAATATATATTTCCTCAAAATAAACTGAAAAACAATTATGTTGATGCATATTATTTGCAGTTTTATCAATTAATTTTCAACTGTAACATAAGTACAACAGAAATTTAAAAAAAAAATTAATTTCCATATTTTTTATTTTTAAATGACGAAAAACGGAAGCATTTTTTTGTGTACGATTTTTTTGTAAAACACTATAAAGAATGTAAAAAAACTGAACAATTAAAATTTCTTTAAAAATGAGTCTCCGACCTCCAGAAGAATATGTTATATTTATTTCTTTAAAATGGCTAGTACGTAATAACATATAACTGATGTTCTATCACCCCATTTTAATTGTCTAACTATGCAAAGTCTTAATGAATGTGAAATATCAATTTAAAACGAATGATTCTAAAATTAAAAGCAGAATAAAACACATAATAAATCACAAATAAATGTACATAAACTGCCATAGCCTTAATAAACTCAAGTTTCTTACCAATGCTGTTCTCTGTTTGAATCAGATATAACTAATGTTCCAGAACCCAAATTTAATCTATTAAACATAAATTAAACTTATTGAGAAACATCAGTTTAAATACAAGAACTTTGGCTTCGTAGTTGAAGGTAGTACAACGTTATTTTAGGAATTAAATTAATATAACTGGTGTTGATTTTTAATCGATTAATTATGCAATATTTTAATGTAAAATATCAACTTACCACCACGAACTTTAGCCTCTCTGCTGAGAGTAGTGCCAACACTATTAGTCGCTGCACATCTATACACTGCATCATGAACATCTTGGCGGTATTCTTCAGGTCTAAAAGGCAGAAAAACAAGGGAACCGTCTGGTCGAACATGTCTTAGTCCTGGTACATCAGACACCGTAACTCCACCTCCCGTCTGCCATGTTAGATTAGGTTGAGGATTACCATGTGCACTACATGTTAGCACAGTGCCAGTGCCATTTGCAAAGTCAACTCTATATCTAGGTGGCTCTTGGACGAATCGTGGACCTTGTCGGCTATCAGGTGACACTACAGAAACTGGAAGAAAGATATTAAAACAATTAAATCAACTTTTAAGTGCATCACATTAATTTGATTGCTTACAAAACATTTATCATAGTATAGCGTAGCTACCACCACAATTATTAAATTTCAATTCAACAGTATATAAGATAAGTTAATTCGATTCTATCAGGGAGTATCTTTATATTGATGACGGTTGACATTATTTGTAGACTCTCTCCACATTTGCGACATTTGGACGCGATCTGAACACGTCTACCTCAACAGAAGCGACCGCTTCAATATGAGGGCGCCTACTTCGGAACACAGCAAGCAGTTGACCTACTAATTAGTGACTACGACATTCTCCTTCCCGCTCTGTTGCTACTCAGTCTCGAACACACACGACGTTGGACTGTATACACTCGACTATTATCGGCAACACAGGAGCGAAAACGACCGTGATCTTAATGCAGCTCTTACGGTCAGTCCTCAATTCTAGTAATCCTAGTACAGCTCTCCCGGCTTATCATAAAGCCAAAATGAATGAGCTATTGCCATCCATTCATAGAATTCTATCCCGGATAAAACTCTGGTGGGGGATTATTGTAGCGTAGCTACCACTACAATTATTCAATTCCAATTAACTAGTATATAAGCCGCGTCAACTCGATTCTATCTGGTTGTACCTTTAGATAGATTACTGTTGATGTTGTTGGTAGTTTTGCCCCACAATAGGAACTTCACTACAGTTATATGTCACAAAAAAGAGTATAAATTTAAGATTTAATAAAAGCTTTTACTGGAAAAAATTGTCTAGCGAAATAAAAATACAATCTAAGTGATTGGGGTAAACTATGCATATGCAGGTTTTTAACGTAGCTTTGGAAAAAGCGCGGATATTTTTTTTCACCTTTGCATTTGAAATGTCATCAACATGGTGGATATTCTGATAATGGAAGAATGAAAAACTTTTGTAATATTAAAATATTTGAACAACCCATGATGCGTTTTATACAAATTATTCATCAATTTGTAATAATAACATGGATTTTTTTTTGTGTCTGAACCATTCAGAACGGTTTGTGCAATAGTAATGAAGTTAGGAAAACGGCTTCAAGGATCAATTTTGGTCCCCGATCCTAAGATTTGTTTGAAATTTTTAAATAATTCGTAAGGAAAAGTCGTTTGCGTTACTGTCATTGGCTTAGCGTTAAATCATTGTCTTAAATTAAATTATAATATATGATTCGTTTTTCCCCGCATATTTCAAAGAGAACATCTGTGATGTTTTCTAGCTCATAGCTCGATTTGATTAAAGAAGAAGTTTATTGGAATAAAAGTATTTTTAAAATTATCCGTAACTGCGTGTTAATTTTAATTATAGTTATGCTTTTGAAACATGCTTTTATGAAACTAATTAACTTAAAAACTAAGTAAATTAAATTAAAACACATATACGTTATGCGCAGAGGAGAGGACATATACGTTATGCGCATTAATGAAAGAATGGTATTAATTCATTTAGGAGAAACATAAGAAGTCGCCTAACTATTATTGACGCCAATGATGATTAATTAATTTTTGTAATAAGTAATAGTTGAAATAAAAAAAAACTCTATACTAAATGGAAAAACTAAGAGACACAATATATTTAATCAATTAGGGGAGTTTTTGAAAGCATCAGACTATTATTGACGCCAATGATGATTAATTGATTTTGGTAATAAGTGTATTTGGTTAAATAAAAAAATACTAAGTTCTAAAAGGTAGAACTAATGGAGAAATGTCACTATTTCGTTTAGAAGAGAAGTAAAATAGCACCTTACTATTGACGCCAGTGATGCTTACTTAGTTTTGTAAACAGGTACCGATTTAAACAAAGCATAAGTTATGTACTAAAAAGCAGAATTAATTTGAAATTATTACTAATTTTACTAAGTTCTAAAAGGTAGAATTAATGGAGAAATGTTACTATTTCGTTTAGAAGAGAAGTAAAATAAAACCTTACTATTGACACTAGTGATGTTTATTTAGTTTTGGAAATAGATACCGATTTAAACAAAATATGAATTATGTACTAAAAAGTAGAATTAATTTAAAATTATTACTAATTTGATTAAAAAGAATCTAAGAAAATCGCATTGGTATTTTTTACGGCAATGATGTTCAATTAAATATGGTAATGAGTATTATGGTAATTGGTGCAGTTTGAATATGCACCAAATACACTAATACTAGTACTAAGCATTATGATAAAGTTTTGGTGCCCATTAAAACTTCACTAATTCTGTTCAGTTTTAATATTGAAACTGGGGAAAAAGTTTACATGGCTCAGTAAATTTGCTTAATTGTGGTAAATTTAGATTATCATAAGATGACTTCAGCCTACAGCATTATCCGAAATGATATTGAAATAGTTACTCTATATTTTGATGGGAAGAACTTTTAGAAAAAGTATTTTGTTTATTCTAATAACGTAAAGTCATCTGAATGGATTCAATCAACTTATGGATTCTTTTAGATTTTGGAAAAGAATTCTTTCTTCTCTATTGATTTTGCCAGCATAAAACTTTTATTTTTGTGCATGATTTCGTTTAGTGATGATGCATTATTTATTTTCATTTTTTTCACCAGTACAAAGAACGAGTATTCAGCTATCAAGTAATAAAATGGAACTTATAGAAAGTACAAGTACTTATAAAAAGTATCGAAAAGTATATCTGTATTTAAATAAACTAATATAACATTAACTTAACATTTCGTTTCAAAACAGAATATTCATTTTATGAATTTTTTAATTTATCTGAAAGTAAATACTACTGAAATAAGCATTAAAACTTATTAAATGAATTTTTCATGAGAAAAACAGTAATAAAAAGAATCGTATTCTTATTTATTCTCTTTTAGATACTCATTTGAACTTTTTTAACATGATATCTAGTTATAATTACAAACAATATGAAAACAGTCAGTTTTTAGTTTCAACAAAAGGGTGTTAGGCATCAGAATGGAAATTTTCATTGTTATATTATGTCTAATGATATTATATACTAATGATACTATGATATTATATACTAATGATATAATAATGATGCGTTGAATGATTATTCTGTTACTATATATCTGCTTGTCTGAGTCTTACAATAATTGCATGTTTAACGTTATTTCGCAACTCTTTCACTGTTTTAAAATTCTTAGAAAGAGGTGGACTTATCAAAGCTTAAGTCACGCATTTTCAATTTTATAAATAAATATAGACATATTGTTAAGTCAATTCAAAAATTATTTTATGAAATTCCTACTGAAAGTGTTTATCTATTCCTCTCCCAGTATTAAAAGATCGACATTTTTATCTCTGTTGTTTTGGGGGTTCAACATAACGTTTCATTTGGTTTTTCTGAGCAAAGACAATAAAAAAAATATAGAATCCGTAATTACGAAGGTCAGTAGAAAAGTGAGTAAAATACCCCATCCAGAAGACAAGATAGGTTTAGTTAGGTTGTCTTTAATGAAGATTTAACTATTGTTACATAGTTATGATGTAGTGTTAAATAGTTATATATAACGATTTAGTAGTTGTCCGTCAAACATTTATTCAGATTCATTTTGTTAGGTAGTCTTAAGTGACAGATTTATGAAATGTGGAATAGTTAGTTATATGTTAAGTACACATTAAAAGTAATTTTGTATTTTTATGGAAGAAAGAAAACTTAGTTACGAAATAACTACTCAAATTTCCTTCTAACCTTTCCAAAATGGCAGAATACATTTTAAACTTAAGTGGTGCTATGGTGCTGTATACTGTCATTCCTTTTATTTTGACGGTTCTTGCCTTTTTTATCATATATATTATACGATATCCAAGTTATGGCTAGAACAGTGCGTGAGGAAGTTGTACAGCATGATATTATTTTCAATTGAGAAAGGTTTTATGTATACAAAATTAATTTTTCAATGGAAAACAAACAGAATAGCGTAGTTTGCTTTTGGTAAATCCATTACACATTTATGGAAAGTGGAAATGTCGATATGCTTATTATGAAAATTATTACTATCAATAACTTAAGACATATAAGGCAAATGCAAGCAGTTTTAGTTTATAGACGGAGAAAGAATTTCTGATAAAATAACTAAATTGTATGGTAATATTTCGGGGAGAAAATAAACATAATTCCGATTAATAAAATTAAAATATACGGTATATTAACCATTCATTTGGTATTTTTTAGCTCATATATTAACGGTTAACTGAAAATTTCCAAATTATAGTTTTTATTACCTTACATTTAGTAAAAAATAACAAACTAGCAAGTAAATTAACTTAATAAATGGTTTTTATGCAATGCTCTAACGTAATGAAATATTATTACCCAATTTTACCAAATATAATAATCAAATTTCACCAAGTATAATTACCCAATATTACAAAATATTTCAAATGTTTTTGCATACTATAATACCATATTTTATTGTTAGTTTTAACAAAATCATTACTAAAGTGCCTTGGTGAAAAATGTTGAGCTTTTCAAAGTTACAGTAAAAGCAGAAACACTATAAATTTTACCCCACTCTGTTTGTTTTGATCATACGTATTTGATCATACTTATTTACACGTTTAACCATAAAATTAGCAACCAATTAAAATTGTCTCATTGATGCACAACTAAACTTAAACTGTTATCTAGTTAATTAACACGCTGTGCAATTTTAACTAAGTTCATTAAATATCAGAAATAAAGTACATTTGATCGAAGAAAATATAATATTTGTGATTAGGAAGGGTAATGGAAAAAGTGTTAATGGCAACGAAATTCGGTTGAAATTACTTTTCAGTTTTTCAGTTTTTACCAAATATGTGTTAGTAAGAGCTATAATTTTTAATACCAGAATTTCCAGTCAGTCAAAAAGCTACTAAATTAATAGTTTAAACAGCGTTTATTTTGTTTTTGAAAGCAAAATCACGTTTTTTTTAAAAAAAAAATTGGAATATCACTATTTTTAAGTACGATAATTTTCCAGAAATGTTTTCTCTT